GACATAACAAGAAATAAGAAGAAAAATAAGCAAATTGCACTACAAACTAATATTCTTCGCATAATGAAACCACCATCAAAATGAAAGACAAGCTACTGAATGGAAGAAGTTTCCAAATCATATAACCAATAAGGGGTTAGCATACAATTCAATATCAACAAACAATCCAATTAAAAATAATTGGTAGAGAAGCTGAATAGACATTTATCCAAAGAAGACATACAAATAGCCAATAGGCACATAAAAAGAAGTTCAGTATCATTGTTTACTAGGGAAATGCAAATCAAAACTCCAGTAATTTATTATGTCATAACTGTTAGAATGGTAATTATCAAAAAGGCAAGAAATAACATTGTAGACAGGATGTGGAAAAAAGGGGATCTTTCTAAACTGTTAGTGAAAATGTTAAGTTGGTGCAGCCACTATGGAAAATAGCATGGAGATTCCCACAAAAAAAATTAACTACCAGGCTCCAGTTATCCCACCTGAAAGCAGCTTTTCTGCCCCTTTCCTGCTTGTCCATTTTTGTTTCCCTCTAACCTTAAAAGAATCAAATTATAGGAATGAGATTACTAGGCAATTTATCTTAATTTCTGCATTCACACTATGCCTTGTCTAACCTGTTGATTCGCTTCTTAGATAAAATGAATGAAAAACAAAGCAGCTAAAAAAAATCAGGAACTCTCTACCATGGGCTCAGGACACAATTCTACCTTTTCCCCAGATCTCTCGCTTTTCTGATTATAGCACCTTTCCTTTCTACTGACACTTGCCACTCAGATACAGAGAACATATAATGGACAAAGGATAGTCTCTTCAACAAATTTTACTAGCAAAAAACCAACAAAAAACTAGAACCACTATCTTACACCACATAAAACTCACAATGGATTAAACAACTGAATGTAAGTCCTGAAACAATAAACTCTACAAGAAAACATAAGCAAAACATTGACAATAGATCTAGCAATATCTTTCCCTTGCCTACGAAGACATAACAAGAAATAAGAAGAAAAATAAGCAAATTGCACTACAAACTAATATTCTTCGCATAATGAAACCACCATCAAAATGAAAGACAAGCTACTGAATGGAAGAAGTTTCCAAATCATATAACCAATAAGGGGTTAGCATACAATTCAATATCAACAAACAATCCAATTAAAAATAATTGGTAGAGAAGCTGAATAGACATTTATCCAAAGAAGACATACAAATAGCCAATAGGCACATAAAAAGAAGTTCAGTATCATTGTTTACTAGGGAAATGCAAATCAAAACTCCAGTAATTTATTATGTCATAACTGTTAGAATGGTAATTATCAAAAAGGCAAGAAATAACATTGTAGACAGGATGTGGAAAAAAGGGGATCTTTCTAAACTGTTAGTGAAAATGTTAAGTTGGTGCAGCCACTATGGAAAATAGCATGGAGATTCCCACAAAAAAAATTAACTACCAGGCTCCAGTTATCCCACCTGAAAGCAGCTTTTCTGCCCCTTTCCTGCTTGTCCATTTTTGTTTCCCTCTAACCTTAAAAGAATCAAATTATAGGAATGAGATTACTAGGCAATTTATCTTAATTTCTGCATTCACACTATGCCTTGTCTAACCTGTTGATTCGCTTCTTAGATAAAATGAATGAAAAACAAAGCAGCTAAAAAAAATCAGGAACTCTCTACCATGGGCTCAGGACACAATTCTACCTTTTCCCCAGATCTCTCGCTTTTCTGATTATAGCACCTTTCCTTTCTACTGACACTTGCCACTCAGATTATTAGCTTTCAAGCTGTGCACAAACATACCTGAGTTTGGTAATACCACTTCTGGGTATTTATCCCAAGAATATGAAAACACTAAGTAAAAAGATGAATTTCCTCTTATGTTCACAATAGCCAAGATATGAAAACAGACTAAGTGTCCATCAAAGAATGAATAGAGAAGTTATGGCATATGTACACAATGGACTATCACTCAGCCACAAAAAAGGGTGAAATCTCGCCATTTATAACATGGATAGACCTTAAGCGTGTTATGCTAAGTAAAAAAAAAAAATCAGAGAACACAAATAGTATATGATTTCATACATGAGGAATATCAGAAAATTAAGAAACAAAGTTAAAACACACACACACACACACACACACACACACACACACAACCCTAACACACCAAACGGAGAAGGAAATGGCAACCCACTCCAGTATTCTTGCCAAGAGAATCCTGTGGATGGAGGAGCCTGGTGGGCTGCTGACCATAGGGTCGCATTCGCACAGTCGGACACAACTGAAGTGAGTTAGCATGCATGCATGCACTGGAGAAGGAAATGGCAACCCGCTCCAGTGTTCTTGCCTGGGGAATCCCGGGGACAGAGGAGCCTGGTGGGCTGCTGTCTATGGGGTCGCACAGAGTCGGACACGACTGAAGCGACTTAGCAGCAGCAGCAACACACCAAACAAAAACACATATAGATATAGAAAACGGAGTGTTGGTACCAGAGGTGAAGAAGCTGTTGGGGAGGGAAAAGTGGATACAGAGAATCAACTGTATAGTGACAGATGGAAACTAAATTTTTGGTGGGGAGGATGCTGTAGTCCATACAGAAGCAGAAACATAATGTTGTCCACATGCAGCAGGTAAACTATTATATACCAATGCGACCTCAATAAAAAATAAGCTTAGAAAGTAATATAAAAACATTTATTTTGCCCCCAGGCTCTTTAGTTAGGGCTTCTAACTTCTTTAAACTCCGGAAAATATCAAAGTGTGACTAAATAATTATAAAAAATATAAATAATAAAACTTTATTATTAAGTTGAATATAAATTCCTTATTGGTATAATTACATATTAATTTGATTTATAGTGTATATGTAGGTAAACTGCTTGTGATAATAGCAGTGCTTAAGAAATTAGAAAAGCATAATAAACAAAGCTAAACTAAATTATTAGAGATTGTGACTACTATAACAGCATATAGGAAACTGGTTTCTAAAATGTTTTCAAATTTATACTCTACCTATTTAAATTTGAAAACTTAAATTCAATGTCTACTTTGTCAAAACGTCACAAGTTACTTATCAGAATTAGAAATACTAGGACCTAGTATTCAATGGATTCAAGTGGCTTATATTACTTTGATGTGACTGTCACCTTGTCCATGCTCCAAGTCCAGTTCTAATGATGATTTTTAACAATATTTCTTCTTCCTTAAATTCATAAGTCATCTAAACACTTTTTTATTTAGGCAGGTTTCCTTAAACAAACAATTTTCAAAAGTTAGCACTGCCCTCTGGGAAACTATTTAAGATGACTATGTAAACTGTATGGCACAAAATTAAAATGGTACCTTGACAGTTACCTAAAAAAATTTAGAAGCTAAGTCAATTTTTAGTAATTCAAGTAAAAAAAAAGCAACACCTGTGTCTCATTTTACTAGATCAACCAACAGAGGACATTTTTGGAAGGAGGGGTACTAAATTAATTCTAGCTATGTGACAAGGGCTCTAGAGGTAATCATTTTACTTCTCATTTCATTCAACACATAAAGATCTAATCTCTTATATATTTCTTTCTTTTCAATGTAGGCGGGGAAAAATGAACACTTTTTTCTCCATTCATTATCCAAAACAAGCATTCTCTGACAAAGTGCAAACATTTTCTGCTGTGTTAAAACTCACAGTTCTCTGCATCCATTCATAAATATCTATATATGTTTTTCTTAAACTCAAAGCTTGATTACATAATATATAATTATAAGTTTATATATAGCAATGTTTCATGTAATCAAGTTTATATTACAAACAAATTTATAAAAGGTTATTCCCAGTAATGTAAGATGTGCTCCTTTTGTCTATAATTATTTACTATTTTAAGAACTGCTTAATGCATTTTCTGAAGTGAAAATAATAAGCTCATAGGATCGATGATCAGCACTAAACCCAGTCATGAAACCACAATCTAAAGGTCAAGTGTCAGTAAAACTGTTGTCAGTTGTCAAAAGTCAATAAAACAGTCTAAATTTGTCTGCTATCTCACTTATATGTTCTCAGAAAAGTTCTCAGAAGTGTGATGGTCTATAAAATTGTTTTGTCATTTAATTGTATTTAATAATTACATAATACATCACTGTTAAAGTAGTCAAATCTTAAATCATCATAAAGAACATTACTGACTGGGGTTTGTTTTCTCGATCTTGGATAATAAGTCAGGGCCTCTTATTGTATGTCTTTATTTTACTGAACTCAATTTTTTTTTAAAGTTCTCATTACTTTCTCATTTTTGTTTTGGAGAATTCTTTATTTCTATCCAGATTAAATGTGTTATATTACAAAATACTATTCATATATGTAATATCATATTTGTTGACTGCACATACTTTAAAAAATAGTGCCCACTGCTATTCTTGTTACCTACCAAATGTGCTTTCATGTTATAAAACTATGATTTAATACATCTGTGATGACACATCTTAAAAAAAAAAACAGAAAACATGAACTACAATATCATGTTTGTGTATAGCTTTTAGATAATTGGGGATTTATATGTCTTTATTAACAAAGTCTCATTAGGTTAAAAGATTTTTGGTACCCTTAGGTAAAATTTGCTTTTGTCTGCAAAATCATTCAGTACTTTACTTCATATTACATGACTGTGTCTCTAGGTATGGCAATATGGACTTAAGTCCTGCACTTTACAAAATAAAATGTGGCCTTAGTCTTCACAGTTTTTGATAAGTACAATTGAAATACCTAATTCTGGGTCAGTAATCTATTTCTGGAATAATATAAAGTTTAATATATATTATCAAACATTCTCTTTTCAGAGCATCAAATCTTCATTATTGTAGGATAATGTAGGATTATAAAATTTATAATCAAATTGAATCATCAACAGTTTATAAATCACTAACAATTTTAGTGTTAATAAATAAGTTAAACTGTTTAGAGCAAATAACCTTACAAGGAAAATACACCCATGGGACAAATATTGTTCACACTTACCAGTTCTTCCTGAAGCTGGGAAATTAGTTCATCCTTCTCCTTCAGCTGCAGCTTCAGCATTGAGCATTCATCTTTCATTATATCCTATAAAAACATCAAAGAGACAGCATAATAGACTTAGCCCTTTCCCTTCACTCTTGATAAGAAAGGTCAGTTGCACGCAGTGGGAGGTAACTGCATATGACTAATAAAACAAAGTTCCTCTACAATCTGACGTTCTCCATAATACACTCTATGCTTCAAAACAAACTAATGCATTCAAATATATTATGCTATATATGATATATATGCACATTTTTCTGATAACAAAATGGACAAAGGGAAATCAGACTAAGACAGAAATCAGGGATTCATCTTAAATTCTGTCCTCCTATTCTTGTGCATACATAATCAGTGGGATAAAAATAATTATACTTCAAAAGAGATACTTTATCATTTTTTCCTGTTATGATTAAATATTCTCAAACGAATGACTGTACTATGGCCTTTATCTTTAATGATAGCTCTATAACATGTTTTCCTTTCATTAGAGCTCTGTCTTTGAGTATTTAACCTCATCACTCTGCATAAACCCTCAGTAACAGCCTCCATGTATAGAGTACACCCACATCTGTGACCTTTATTATTCTACCCTGGAAACTCACTTACAAATACTTGATCTAAACCTATCTTCCAAACTTCAGCCCACAAATATAATTATTTACTGAGCATACAATCAATGTCCTATAGACATTTCTACTCAAATTTCTTCATCTTCCTATTTCAAAAATTATTTCCATTTATTCCTCCCATTATCTTATTCCTAAAAGTAGCCAGAAAAGTATCCCATACTCTCAGCTCATCCACAATCTGATCCCAGTCTGGTACCCAATTCTTTGATCTCCATCTTCTAGGTATTTCTTGGACTCACTCCTTTCTATTTCTCATGGATTTACTCTAGGTATCCATTGCTTAATATATGACTTACTGCATTAAGTCTCTGAACTGGTTCTATGTCTATCACCTTTCCCATCTGCCAGAGAAATTTTCCTAAATGGGAATTAATTACATCATTTCTTAATGTAACAGCTAATCATTTCTTTCAGAGGGAAAAAAAAAGTCAAAACTCTTTAGCACAACATATGGTGCCTTTCATTCTCAACTCCTTGCACATTTCTGGAGTGGTATGTTTTCACTGCCAACTTTCTTATAACCTGTGCTCATTCCTACAGAACAAAGCTGCAGAACATGGTTTCTTTCACGGCTTCTTGTTTTACACATGTGTATCTCTGGGCTGCGATGCTTCTCTCCCCCGCAATTTCTCATGACATAGGAGGCATTCCAAACATTATTCCTTACTCTGGGGGGAGCTTTCCCTTGTTGTTTATGTTTCCCTTGAGCATGAAGTCATGTTTCACATGTCTAAATCACACATCATTTCATACGACATTAGACACTTCAAGGGCTGTTTGCTCGTTTCCCTAACCCACTTGAGATCTCTATCTGAGATGACAAAGAAGAACACAGCTAATGAATTAGAGAAAACAGTATTTGTTTATTCTAGTTCTTATGGTGCTAATTTCTACTTTTAGTCTAAGCAATACAGAATATATGATTCAAATTTACTAATACCTCTTTTCATTTTCAGACAGCCAGTTGACTGGAAGACGCTAATTATCTCTGTCACTTTTATTTCATAGCGGCCCTGTCTCTTCCCTAAATCATGAATTAAAGAATAAAGCTATATGAAAAGAAAAGAAGAATCGGAATTGGGGAAGGGGAACAGTGGACCATGATTCATACCTGACAAATCCTCCAGCAGCTAAACCAGAAGCTCCAACTCCAAGACTGCCTATGAGAGGAATGCCCTGTGGAAGGAAAGTGGGTGGGTTCACCTCCCACTCCCTGTTCAGTCATTGGTTGGGAGCTAGATCTCAGCTGCTGCTAGTAATCCATTGTCTCAGGCCACTCAGTGTTGAGCTTGGCTTCAGCTGGAGGCAGTTAGCTAACTACCGGAGTTGCAGCTGGGGAGTGAGTCCTTTACTGAAAGGGAATCTGAGCCTTAGCCTGAATCTACTGTTTTTCAGTTGAATGTCAACAACAATGTTTTTGAATATTAACTGTATTTTGTCAATGAATTCATTTAAAATGAAGATTCACCTATATTGCGGCTAATAGAAATTGTAAACAAAATTATTTTCCAAAAACAAGCTGCCTTTACACAATTCTCTGATTTTTTTCCACCAGCTCTGGAAAGTTTTCTCAAGAAGTTCTTAATCTCACAGCTTTAAATCAGATAGGTGCTAATATACCATTTGCATTTATCTAAGGAATAACACATATTAAAACACATAAATTTAATTTGTCACATGACATCAGAAGCCAAAGACATTATAAAAGTCTTCTCTTTATCAATGACTTTGCAAATGAATCTTGGCCATCTACAGTTCTGTTTTTAGTTGTTATATGTACTTTGGCAAAATTCATAGATGTATCTGTCTAATACACAAGATGAAACCTTTAAACAAGTTACTTAAATGAAAGCTACTCTCAAATTTATCAAAATTCCCTCAACATTCTCATTATCTGTGCAAAATTCTGGGACATGTTTGATAGGTTGTTCTATTAAGTTAGAAATTCTCTAGGTGTGTACAATTACTAGATTTTAATATTCTTGGTTTTTAAAATAATGCTATTAACATCCATTAACAAGGCTAATGTAACCAATTAACCTTACATTAATTTAAGTGCATATTACTTATGAAAATATATAATTGAATAATTACTGCATCCTTTGTTTCTCAAGTATAACTGATTCTAGGACTAAAATCAATTTTGTATTTCCTAATTCAATAATTATTCATAAATATGGAACTTAGAACATGGTGGATTAAAGGGGTTACAAATCCTTTGCTACTATTCCAAATGAAAGACGGAATCTAACATTCTCTCCTTGAATCCGGGTTGGTATTATGGCCTTGCTTGACCAGGTGAATACAATGGAAGTAATTCCATGTGATTCTCAGAACTAGATCAGATTTCAGCTCCCAGGATGGTCTCTTAGAATGCACCTCTCAAGTTCCTCCCTTGTAGAAAGAACACAGGAGTCACGCTAAAAAGTACAAATTACATTTCACTTTCTCTGACAGCCTCTTAAGGGCACACCCAGCGTCAGCAGCATCAACTCTCAATCCTGAGAGTAAGCCATCTACATACCTAGCCTGGTGAAGTCTTTAGACCAAAGCTCTGACCAATATCTCACCATAACTGCCAGAGCTAAATCGTTCCCAAATTCCTGACTTGTAAAATTGTGAACAAAATAAAAGTATAGTTTTAAGCCATTAAGTTCTGGGATGATTTGTTATAGAGATCATCAGGACATATGGAAATATTAAATTATTACAATTAGAATTAGTGTAAATTATGACTCATAGGTGTATAAAATATATACAGCTAATTTTAAAAATATTTTGTGATTTAAAGTATGATTTTTGTGATTAAAGTTATATTTACTGTAACTTTCAAATTTATTTAATGTATAATATAAATATATCCTCAGTATTTAACCTACAGGAGAATTAAAAATAAAGATGTAATAGTTTCTTAAAAATTATCTTATTTTACTTTCATTTTCTAAATTTGGAAAATTAAAGCCAGATACATGAATATTTGGTTAATTTGCCCCAATTCATTTAGCTGACTTCAGTCCCATATATTCCTATCATTTATTTTTGCCTGAATTAGAATCACCTCATTGTTTTGAACATGTATGAATACAAATCAAGTTCCAAGAAATTAAAGGCAAGCAGATACTGTAAATCACATCAGAAATTACCTTATGCTGAAATTAGAAATGCAATTAAAAAAATCAAAGAATAATTTATAACTCATGAATCTTCACATAATTCCTCAGGTAAAATTATAAACATAATTCTTGGCTAATATTTACAAAAACATGTAAAAATTGGTACTGAGTCATCATGACTCTCTATTTATAGACTTTTGGTCCGTTCTCTGGAGGGCTTTATTTTATGACTTACAAGCTGTTCCCTCATTCTTGTAAGTGGAAAGGTCAAAAGATTAAAAAATAAAGGAAGCAGACAATTTTATCAGAGTAAACAAGGACAGACTGTTATAAACAAGTGAAAACAGAGAAAAAAGAAATAGGAGTATGGTAGGAGAAGACAGAAGGAAAGAGATCAGAAAACAAAAAATATATAATAATTGACAATGTATTTTGCAGTTCTACCTAAACACCTGACCTCATGTAATCATTATGCTAACTTAGCGTTAAAGCAGCATATTATCTGCAACAACTGGGTAGCTACTGAAATAAACCAGTGCAGGCATATAATCATCTACACAGAGTTATAACAGAGCATGCTTTTCAAATCCTGAAAGCAAGTCAATAAAAACACCACCCTAATTGTTTATTTAGTTTAAAATAATTTTTTAAATATTTTATAAGTCATTTCAGTATCAACAACTGCTACATGATGCTACAAAATTTTCTTTTCATAAGCATTCAATTTAAAAAGATTCTAGGGGCTTCCATGGTGGTCCAGTGGTTAAGAATCCGCCTTGCAATGCAAGGGACATTGGCTTGATCCCTGGTCTGGGAAGATCCCACATGCCACAGGGCAACTAAGCTCGTGTACCAACTACAGAGCCTGTATTCTGGAGCCCATGAGCAGCAACTACTGAACCCATGCGATGCAACTACTGAAGCCTGTATGCCTAGAGCCTAGGTGCCACAACAAGGGAAGCCACAGCAATGAGAAGCCCTCACACCACAACAAAGAGTAGCCCCTGCTTTCTGCAACTAGAGAAAGCGTGCACACAGCAACGGAGACCCAGCACAGCCAGAAGTCAATAAATATTAAATAAATATATAACTATACATTCTAGATTTGATTTTATAACGCCATTGACTTCAGAGATGAACTAACATTCCATTGAATATTTACAAAAACATTGTGTTTTTAAAAACATTGTTTACATAGCAACACGAAATTTTTAAAAGGTATAAAAGGTGTTCAAAGTAAGTATCTTAGAAATGTATTTCTAAGCATATAAATCAAATCAGTAAACAGCATTATCCCTTG